TTTGTTAAACAATAACATTTTTTAAAATTATCATTCTCTTGTTTATTATTTCGATCATCATTAATTCTTATATCTAATCCATAACGAAAATTATTAACAATTGTTCCATATTCACTATAATTTAATAATTCAAATAAATTATGTTTTTGATCATAATATAAACAAGCATGTTTTTCTGATATATATGGACATGAATGTGATTGATAAAAATCTTTTAAACATATATCATTTAATGATGATGAACCAAACCAAATAACATTTTTTTCAATATAAATAACATGTTGAGAACGTAAATGAATAAGAGCAGCATGAGATGAATGAAATTGTGTGAGATCAATTGATAATGAGAATGAATTGCTAGATAAAACATGAAAAAAGATATGGTATTAATATTTGTACAAATGAATATTATTTACGGATTTTGTGTTTCTTCATATGAATCAACAGTAGTCATACGGGTATTTAATTTAGTCATTTTATCTAATGTGCATTGGTCAGGTATATGATCAGGTTGATTTAATGCTTGTAGTAATATATCGATTGTATCGAATGTATTGCATTCAGTTTTCACTGATGAATTTGTTAGATGATAATCATTCTCAATTGATAAAGGTTCTATAGATGAGAATTCATAATTACGATTATTAATAATATGATCGAGGATTGCTTGTAATATATCCCATATACATGGGTCATATACCGATGAAGATTCAACAGAAGGAAAGGTCGTCTAAATTAAAATTAGGATATAGTGTTATATAACGAATTTTAGAGTAAAAATATCGAAGGAAAAAGTCTGTATCTAAGTTGACCATTACCGGACAGAACTTGTCGATTGAACTAAAGCTTGCTCATACTCGAGTTAAAATTATTTAGCAGACTCTTGAGATAGTTCAATCTTTCGATTTATTTCGAACGATTTCTATGTAATTCAGACACCTACTTATTATGACTGAGTCTTAGTCAGAAGTGCAGAATCTTCCCAAAAACTAAAAATTTCCCCGAAAAATGCAGTTTTCAAAACATTTTCTCCCCCGCGCGAGGACGCACGAGGACGATTCTGCACCTCTGGTTTTAGTTCTGAATTATTCTCGAAGGCTATTGTAAGAAGAATAACGTATTTTTTCTAAATATGTTTGTAAACTTTTTAAAATCTGAAACTATTCAAAATAAAGTATAGGCTATAAGTAACACTGCCCTATTTTCCATCCGTCTCACTCTTCTTAAATATTGATAGAACCAACATTGTCGTCTTTTTAATTATTAGGATATTTTAACGAAAAATTCTCTACATGTATCTTAGGAGAAAACTGCAAGATTTTACCTGTACATATAATTCTTCTTTCGAATTATTATTTTCAATTTCACAGATCTGTTTTTCTTTTGTATTTGCTTGAGAATAAAAATTTTCAATAGTTTTAGGTATTTGGCTTATATCAATTCGTTCTAATCGATGATTATCTATTGTATTTGATAATAAATAATCTTTTGTTTGTTTTCTTTCTGTAAATTCTTGTACAACTGTGTTTTGTTTAATTTGTGAATATTGATGAGAAAGTTTTACTCGGTGATTAGTAGAAATTTTCTTTTTCTTTATTAAATAATGATCTAATATTGGTTCGATATGATTTGGACATATCCATTTTTCATTTGATACTGGTAATGTTATCATCGAAGGTATTAAACAATCTAAATGATATGTTAATGTACAATAATCACATTGTATTGATGGACCTTGTTTAATAGAAGATTTTCGACATACGAAACAATTCTTTTGATACGTTAAATTATTCGATGGTATTGATGGACCATGAAATTCTTCTGGTTGACATGAACGAAATAAATGATGTAATATATCTAATTGAGTATCTGAATTAAAAAGTGAAGGATTTATTGATGATGATGATGAATCCATTCTTTTTCGTTTTGAATTCGATGTTGATAATACATTTTTATTATTTATTGTAGGACATTTAATCTCATCTGAAGATTGATCGTTCGATGCTAAATAAACAAAAATGATTTTTTTTATTTTAATAAAAAGTAAATATTAAATCAAACTTTATTTATGAGTGTATCGAATAGATCAAAATCAGGATAAAATTTATATATACCGGAAATAGAATGATATTCATAACTTATTACTCGAGATAAATCGATGAGAGTTTATCCGAATTTCGCCAGTCGGCGAAAGTGTTATTGGCGAAATTCAGAAAACTCATCATTAAATTGAATTTTTGAAAAATTCAACAAGATCCAGTGTTTTATCCAGCGAGTGAGGTGGATGCGCGCTGCCCACTCTAAAATTCGGTCTGCCCATCCGAAAGAATACAGTAGCTGTATATTTTGAGATCGTCCGGATGGGCGCTGGGTATATGCCGTCCACCTTAAATTTCGATTTGCCCTTCCGAAAAACGAAACCTAGATAAAACACTGAAAATATCCAGTTATTGATTCGAAATTTCTAAGACATAAATAGACTAATTGTCTTATGAGAGTGTATATGTATTCTATTCATGTATATATATATATATATCATACCTGTCGATAGTTTAATTTCGTCTAATGTTGAATGATGTTTTTGAGTTTTTTTACAATCGTTTAAATTTAATGATTTTTTTGGATCGAATCGAAATGGTAGAATAAGTTTTTGTTGTTTATCTTTATTATGTTGAATTTTTGTTTTCATTTGACAATCATTACAAAAATACGAATCTTTTAACATGTTATCTTTTGTTAATGATGAATTAGCACAAAGAAGATGAGATGTTGTTTGACAAATATCACATGATATTATATCATCATAATATTCTCCACATGAATGACAATAATTATTATTTATCATAAGATTATTTGATGATGTTGATGGAATGTGTTCTAAAGTTGAATATTGTTTGACTTTTTTTATTGAAGTATTATTATTATTATTATTTGAATCACTATGTAAAATATGTATCTTCTTTAAATCAACTGGATCTTGTTTTATATCCATACTTTTCATTGATGGGTGTGTCATTAACAGTTATTAAGACAACATTTTTTGATTTAAATTGTTTATTGATTGATTTTAAACTATTGTTATTATTTGTACATGATCTATGTTTTGTCGAACCTAGAAAAATGAAATACAGATTTTAGATTTGTATGAGTATCGATCGTCAAAAATTCACAATGATTCGTTTAATTATGTATCATTACTTGGATATTAGGATACTGTTTGGATTTCAAGAGAAGATTTTTCAAAAAAATAAATATTTATGTATTAGAATGAACTTTTGAAACAGATGTAATACAACAAGAAAGACTGATTCAATAGGTCTATCGAATGCGATTATGTATTATGAAACTATCAATTTCATTTTAAAGTGAAACATAAGAGTATTGCATAATGTATTCAGTCTTACTTTAAATAATGGTATAATATCATTTTCATAACATCTAAAGAACTATCGAAATTTCATTCGAAAGATCAAAAGAATGTCATTATAATAATTTTGATTCTTCAAATCAAACTGAATTCTATAAGTACTCAATTTATGAACAAAGAAATTGATTGCAAACATTATCTTAAAGGACGTCTATTTCTCATAGTCAACAAAAAAAACGAACGAAATCTTATCTTTTTGTTAATCACCAACTTCTATTCGTACCATAGAGACCTCATGACCTTCAAGTTCTTGGTCTGCCCTTATTTCTGAAAGACAACGTATTTTTTAGCATTGGAACATCTTTACAGATGCTATAGAAGATTTGCTATGCAAGAGCTTTCAATAAATATGGCAGCCACCATCTTGAGCGTGGGAGTCTTGTGTCCGTTTATTTTTCTATGCCCACACTCATCTCTGTCGTTTCTAATCATTCTCATTTATTTTCTGCTATTCCCCGTCATTTATAACTACTCCTACCAATTTCGCATCATTGAGAATGAGTCGAGAAAGAGCGCTTGCTTTGACTTGTACCCAATGACCTCGAATGCCAAGATTTGTAATGGGGGAGGGAAACTTAAAACTTCCGCTCACGATTTTCTTCGAAAACTTATGTTAGTTTTACAAAAATCTATATGAAATATAAATACAAACCATTTATTTCACTATCGAATATTAATGATGAATGAAAACCATTTGAATTATTCATATTAACAACATAGTAGAGATTGTTTTTAATAATCTAAAAACACTAAAGAAAAAAAAACAAGTATACCGTTTTTTTTATTTTAACAAATACATATACAACAACGATAAATGAAAATAAATAATAGAGAAAAACCAACAACTATACTCAGGGATGAAGTTTTTCTTTCTTGATCATCAATTTGAAAGACATTTCTAGTCGGATAACTCATTGTTGTTCACTGTATATATATATTTATATACATACAAAATAAAGTAAAAACAAACAAACAAACAAACAAACAAATATCAACTTCGTTGATTCGAAGTATTTAATAAAAGATGTGATGGTCCATATACTTCAATATCATCTTCGTCATCATCTTCATCATGTTCAGTAATACTTGATTTATGATAACCATTTGTATCAGTAGTTGTCTTATTTAATATACGATCTTCATTTTTAATTGATGTTATTTTAGGTAAATTTATAAATGTTTTAGGAGAAAAAAGTATATATGAAATAATTAATATACTTAAAAAATTCACCAATATAACAACACTTATTATTAATTTAACTCGATAAAGTTCAGTAACAAATGACATTATAAATATTAATGCTGTTGGATAAATAAACCAAACCTTAAAAAATTATAATAGAAAATAAAATTTTTCTTCTTCTTTGTTATTATCTTACCATACAACATGCACCAAAATGATGAAAAAATTGTAGTCTTTCAAAATTTTTTTCTTCTTGTGTTGTTTCTTTTAATTCAAATACAAATAAAAACATAACAAAACATCGAAATAATAGAGAAAAATAATTTGCAAACGTTTGATAATGATTCGAATCAATAACTGGATTTGTTGTTATTATACTTAATATATAACAAGAACAACAAGCAATTGTATAAAGAATAAATAAGATAACAGTTTTCTTTCCTTGACGAAGTACAGTTGTATTTATTAACCAACCTAAAAATAAATATATATTTTTTCTGGAAATGCGACTGCAAATCTTTGACCCAGGAATTAGAGATATGTAGATTTCTGGAGAAAAATTTTCTCTATCGGATTCTGTTGAGTACCGTAAAAATCGATTTTTGGTTTGAATTAAAGACCTGTATCGGAGTCAACTAAATCTCTTGCCTATAATTCATTTTTTACATTAAATGTTTTTGAGGTAAAGGTTTTGTTCCCTGATGTTTTCTGTACAAACTGATGTATTATGAGGGTTCAAATCAATGTTTTATTGAGGTTCACGGACATAAAAGAAAGTTGATTGCCCGTCTCTGACTGGCTTAAATTCAAGCCAAAAATCGATTTTTAGGATACTCAACAGAATTTGATGGTACATATACCATTCGATAGAGAAAATTTTCCGCTACAAACCTACATATGTCTCATTCCTGGATAAAATTTTACTACGAAATTTGTAGTCGCCTTTTAAACATAATGAAATCGTAATTATATAAGGACTGAAATACATTGAACTACCATACGAATACAAAATGCTAGAAACACTCAACATACATAGTAATTGATAGTTAGATTAAAACTAAAAAGACTTATTCCCTATAAGATCTCTTATATATATACTGATTTCATTTTTCTATATGTTAATATTATTATTTCTTGATGATTGCTCATGCTTATGTAATACTTTGTTATGATGCAATTAGTCTGACTGAAATATTTGTTCGAAATGGTCAAGTTAAGTGTGATCCAAATTTGGAGTTTACGGATATCTAAGTATTCGCAAAGAACTCTCCCGGAAAACTGCAATCATCTGTTTTTGATTGCTTTAATAGATATTGTGGACTGTACGGAGTCGACTTGTGATACTCAAGGAAAAAAGCGCATAGTTACAAACTACAATTTGTCGAAAAACTGGAAATTCGTGTTCAATACTTTTGAATAATTATAAGCCTGTAGGATATACTTGTGATAATCTGTAATATTTACTTAACGTTTTATTAGTTATTTGACAACGGAGATAAACGTCATGTATGTTTTCAAGCAGCTCTTTTTTATGATTAATGATTTTTGTTAAAGGATAATAAAGATATTATTTGAAATGAACTAAAAGTGCAATAGTAGAAGAAAGAAATATTAATATCTATTTCTCATGAGATTTTAATTGTCATTGATATGTATACAAAAGCTATATGACATATTTCCTTTTCCTGACGGCTGAATATGATATTGATTTTGTTTGACAATAAAATTTTAATAACTATAAAAACAAAATGCGCAGGTGTAGTCAATATTGACTATCTATAAAGTAGCGCACGTTTATTTTCTCTAAATATTCAGACTTCTGAAATTTTGTCATACAACATTCAAGAAAAACATTTGTTAACATTTTACCTTTAGCAATAAATAGCAATAGAAGAATAAGTATTGATTCACCGATAATAGTAATTAAATTTCCAATATGTACTAATATATAAATTCCAATACCATTATAAGCAAATATAAAATAATGCATTAAATTCAAAATATTGCCAATAAAGAATAATAATTGAAATAAGAAATACGATATTAATATTGGATGTTTTAGATATGTTAATGAACGTATTTTAATTAAAACAAATGGTAATGGAATAAATAAATATAATAATATACAAACAAAATAAACTTCAACAAGATCATGCATATCATATGAAAAATGATATTCAAAACGATTATCACGAGATTTTGTATCAGGATTTCCAT